ACTGTTTTCCAAAATTGGATGAATAAACGCAACTCTTGCAGTCTGATTAGAGGCAAAAAAAAAAAAAAAAAAAAATAAATCATATAATATAGTTTATTGGTTGTAAATTTATAAATAAAAGCATGTGTTTAAAAACTTTATTATTATATTATATGTTTCTTAAGAATATTAAATTAGAAATATATACTTGAAGACTTAAGAATATTATTGTATTATTGATTTACATATTTAAAAATAAGTTTTTTTTTATTAATAGTATATAATTATATAATAATTTAAAATAATAATTTTTAAAACATGATTTTTTGTTTTGTTTTTTTTTGAAAAACATAAATTTTAACAAGACAAGAATAAAAAACTTGTCAAGTTAGTTTTTTATTTTTTAAAAAAAATATTTTTTTATTATTATTAAAAATAAAAACTTTTTTTTAAAACAAAGTTTTTTAATTATTTTTTTCTTTTTCAATTATTAGTTAATAAATTTAATAAAAGATTAATAACATTTATTATATTAGATAAAAAACCAGTTTCTCTTTTTTAAAATAAAAAATTATCTTTGTTAATATTATATTTATAAAATCTTTATTTAAGATTCTTAATTAAATTTATCAAAACTTGGAAATCATAAAATTGAATTTAAATATTTTTCAAAAATTGTATTATGTCAAAATTATTAAATAATATATGATAAATAATTAAGAATCATATTATTAATCAAATTCTCTTTTATGGTAATAAGAAAAAATACTTTTTTATTTTTCAAAAAAAAATATATATATATATATATTTTTCCCGTAGTCAAACAAGTGCGTACTGTTTATTAAATCTTTACAGATTTTCAAAAAAATATATATAATTTGACATGCCATTATTTTTATTTATATGGTTTTAAGATGTTTTATATATTATATTGATAGTTTAATATAAGGGGGTTTTTTTTTCTTATATTGTATTTTTATTAATAGTTTATTAATAGTTTATCTATTTAAAAAAAAAAACCAATGATTTTTTTACTTTTATTATTTTATCAATTAGCTATTGAAATATGATAAAAAATATTAAAAATATTAAAAAAACAAGTTTATTTGTCTCTCACTGTATATTAAAAAATATTTTTATATCACATTGTATATAAAATACTATATTAAAACAATTTTTTTATATAAAAAGAATATACGGATTTAACTATAAATAAAAATTAATCAAATCATATATACGATAAAAGTCCATAAATCTTTATAATCTATAGTATTCTATATATGGTTATCATTTATCATTGATATTATAATAGTTCGGTTATAATACACGACACCCTATATATTTATTATTGTTTTGAAGACCTTGGACGCTGGTCAAACATGAATTATATGAATTCTTGATTTTTTTACTTCGAAAGGAAAGATGCCTGTTTTTTTTTGTCGATATCTTTCACAGGGATTGAAGTTTTCTTGGTGTCCATTTCGATTGTTAGTATTTTACGTAACTACAAACTCTTGAGGAGGCTTTTCGGTTCATACGTAGGATTAATGGAAGCTAAAAATAAACATTAATGATTCCTTGATTTTTTTGGTTTCCATATTTAACGAAAAATCGGATCGTATATGTAGAATTCTCCACGAATTTCCGGATTCCTGTTTCCCAATATACCAGTCAATTGAAGTAACTCGATTTCTTTTTTTAACTCGATTCTCCTTACATATTTTCCACGGTAGCATATCTGAATATATGCGTATATACGTAATTAAAAAAGATCATGGTTACACTGAATGGTTAATACCTGGTTATAAAAGACAGATGTTCTAAAAAAAAATTTCCGACGCAGAAGCATTGACTTGACACCGATTTATTTTTAGAAATATTAAGAGTGAGACAGATCATTGATATTTTTGATTAATAATAGGTTACCATTTTTGTACTCAATCCTCGATAAAGTTTAGATGAGAACATGGTTTCTGCAGTCACTTTTATTTAGCAAAATTTCAGCGTTAACAAAATAATCATGTGTCATGTAATTTACATGCATGAAAGAAGTAATAGTGAGTTTATTCTATCGTAATAACGTATTTAAATTATTTACATGTCATATTATTGAACCAATGAAGATGTTATTTATGATTATAAATCCTGAGAAATGGTATGATATGAAACGTTTTCTTATTAAAAGTTCTTTTTAAACAAAAAAAAAATTAATGGAAAAAATCTTAATTGTCTCATATATTCTATACAAAAATTTACACATTCAGCTTGATAATCCCTGCGCCAAACCGATTATCAAATCTGTCCTTTTGGCGCTTGTCGATCTTCTTTTGTACAAAGGAAAATGAGAATTAGTTTCTCGTCCCTGCTGGTCGACCGATGACCTTTTTAGTGATGGTCGATCTTCAACGCAGAGAGATGATTGTGACAAGTATTGTTGATCCGAGATGGACGTTGTGGTAAAACGGGACCCTATACTGCCGTTAATGGTTGGTTTTAGTATTGACCTAATGCCGTTATCAATCGTTTCCACACGATTTGGTTGTATCAGAAATTGTTCGGCGGTAAAATGTACGGGTACAGCGGTGGTCGGCGAAGTAAAATGGTGTTGAAATTGAGGATTTTCATCCTGGGTTGGATATCCAATAAACGAATCATTACCGTAAGCGTCGACTTGACCGAAGTTCATTTCGCCTTGACTTAGGTGGGCCAGTGAAGAAGGCTCCATCCAAGCGAATTGATTGAGAAGGTTGGGCCTCCGAGGATTTTCCATGAATTTTATGATTCCGTGACAATAGTCAGTATCACCTTTAAATGACAATTAATTTATTTATTATTTGGTTAATGAATGAAGGAATTTCGTTTGGAAGGAAGAGAAATTTTGTTGTTGATTCGATTTACATACTTGAATCAAAGTCCAAATTGTGTTGCGGCGTGCTTTTGCCGCTTTCGTCACTTGTCGAGGACACCATCGAGGGAGTAGACGGAGTGAGATTAAAGGTCTCCAGAGGGTGGTTGTGATTATACAAGAGATGTATCTCACAGGGATGAGAAAGAATAAGTCTACTCTTCTCGAGACGAATTTTCGCCAGGCACTGACAATTTGTATTTCGACTTCTTCTCTGGCCAGCCTTTTGAGCGTAGGTCTTCTGCATATACTTGATGGCAGCAATGTCGGCGTGCCTACAATGGAAATCCTTATGATAGATGACCTTTATCCCTTTTACCTTGTCGGCACGGGTGATTCGAAAGATGGTGCCGGTTTTGTTGTGAAACGCAGTTCTCCATTCCTCAATGGCCTCGGCTGATGAGATGTTTACGTAGAACGTAGAGTCGAAGGCAGCCATCGGTGCGCCCGGAAAATTTTCGAGTTCCAATTCTTTGTACGATTTAATGATGTAGGTATAATTATCAGGAAGAACTTGTTGTAAGAAATGCGGCAATTGATCGAACGTGCGTGGAGTCGTTTGACTGGTGGTGTCGGTTTTATTCTTCATCCTCAGTTGAAGACGCTTCTGGAGTTCGAGGCGATTATCGTTAGACGTCATCTTTGATTTATTTATATATAATTTCGTTTATGCTCTTTGATCGAGAAATTATTTTATTTTATTTTTTTTTCTAACGGACCAAAAAAAAAATTCACTGAATGAATTTTGAGTGAAGAGATCTTGCACTCGTTTATATATATAGAAAAAAAATAAATGGTTGAATCGGATTCAAAAACAAATCAAACATCTCACACAAAAAAGAATTTATATTGTCAGTAATTATCATCGCTACCTTACAGTAATATATTGTTCGATAATTATTTAATAAGGTAAATCAATATAAATTATAAATATTTTTAATACACAAAACTGAGTTAAATCAATAGTTTATCACAGTAGGATTTGATATGTACGTGGGAGATATTTGTTTATTTTTTTTTGTGTTGATATAAACCGATGAGGCTGTACAATATCATATTCTCTAAGAGGAAATTCTATTTTTAAATATTTAAATCGTCATTCCTTCCCTAAATCAAGAGGCACGAGAGAGCACGAGGCGATCAAATAGAATGATACTATTTTTAGCACAGTCTTTTCCTAGGAAGTCTCCTTTGCATATTTTCTAAAAATAAAAAATTCTTTAAGTTGTTATACCGGGCCATTGTCTACTGGCCAATCGGTGGAAAAAGGTTATTTTAAAAATAAACCGCTTATCTCGTTATCAGAATCTCCAGATTTATATTTAAATATCTGATGCGTGACACGTATTTCATTGATTACAAGGTCACATGACCAAATAATGCGTGCGCAGATAAATTTGATTTTTTTTTTTTACTCGATTTTTTTTATTTCTTCGCGTTTCATCGGTGTACACGTTGAAAAAATACAACAAATATAAACAAAGAAACGAGATACAGAAAGATGTCCGTTTGGTGTAGTCTAAAAGCTATCCCGGAGGAGTTAAGACTGGATACTACCTTGAAGTGCGGTCAGTCTTTTCGGTGGAAATTATCGGGAGAAAACGAATGGTAGCTAGAGTAAAGATTTGCATACGTCTGATATACATGATCATAGATAAAGGAAATATTGTTAATCATTAATAATAATAATGACATTATTATTTTATTATTATCACTTGGTTTCACTTTGCAACAATGGGATGGATCCATGTTGGAATTATCAAAATAAAAAATTAAATTAAATTAATTATTAACTCATATAATAATAAAAATTCCATTGATCGATGACGAATGATCTCGATTGATTACAAAAGGTCTTGTGCTTTCAAGGGGAAATTGATTACCCTAAGACAAACAGGTAGTTTTTTTTATTCTTATGTCATGCGCAATGTCTATTTTTGCTTCAGACAAAGCTTCAGAAATTCGAATCAACATTTAATTCCCCCACTCCCACTATAATCGATTTAATTTAGCGACAGGTGTAGAATATCGAACATACTTTCACTCCGATTTTCAAACATCTTCTCAAGACAAAATAACCGTTGAGAAACAACGTCAACGAGAGATCGACCAAGAGTATAAAGAAATTCACGAATTCCTCGTGGACTACTTTCAATTGCACGTCAATTTACGAGAACGATATGACCAGTGGAGCTTGATGGATAAACATTTTGCAAGAATAGCAAATCAATTTCCGGGCATTCGAATATTAAGGCAAGATCCAGTGGAAAACGTGATTTGTTTCATTTGCTCGACAAACAACAATATCGCGAGAATATCGCAAATGGTAACATTCCATTGGTCACATGAGAAACCTCTGTAATTTCAGGCTAAAACCAGTTTCGCTAACAATCAGTGGAACTCGTTAGATCGAAAAACTATGCAGAAAATACGGTCAGAAGGTGTATACTTTAGACGGACAAGAATACTTTGATTTTCCAACGCTCGACAAGCTCGTGTCACCAAAAGTTGAAGAAGAACTTCAACAACTCGGATTCGGATATCGCGCAAGGTACATTGCGCAAACGGCAAGAATATTGAAGGAAAAATACCCGGACGGGGAACAATGGTTACATTCATTACGGAAATTGGAATATAAAGACGCTCGTGCGGCCTTATTGCAACTGACGGGCGTAAGTGAAGGGACATGAGATGATGCATTACTTTCAAAGGACAACTGGAATTTCTTGTAGGATAATTAAAACTGACTATTATTACGTTATTATTATTTTATTATTGCTATCATTGTTAACAACAGGTTGGACCTAAAGTTGCAGACTGTGTGGTAAGTTGACATTAGTCGCATGCCTTATGTAGGAGCACGCATACGCAATTTAACATTTACCATTCTGCGTGCTGGAGAGTATGGAGAAAGGGAGATAGGATAACGCTAATTATTGTATGTGTACGTAGTGTTTAATGTCATTGGACAAAAATGACGCCATACCGGTGGACACACACGTTTGGCAAATTGCTAAACGAGAATATGGATTTGGAGGCAAGGGAGAAACACGTAATATGAAAACCTTAACAAGTCGCTTGTACGAAGCCGTCGGAGATCACTTTCGAAAATTGTTTGGTGATTATAGCGGATGGGCGCACTCGGTAATCTAACAGAAAAAAGTTAATCAAACATTAACGCCATCAAACCAATAGCGTGCAAATAAACAACTTGTCTATGTTAAATGGTTAGGTACTATTTACAGCCGATCTTAAGGCATTTGAGGATAGGCAGAACAACTTGGGAAAGCTTAAACCGACAACTTTGACAAGCGAATTGACGATTAATAACAAAAGAAGACGCCTCTGAAGGTAGTACTAGATATAGTCAAATATTAGTCAATAATTAGATATTCGATGTAAAATTTAGGTATAATCAGGTAATATTAGACAATCAGAAAAGAAAAATTACACGAAGTTTTCGTAAATAATAATTAGTGTTGTGCATAACGTTGATAAAAAGACAATGAAACCAATTTCGAATCATTCATAAGATCCAATAATCGCATGCAAAACATATGATATGATCAAAAATTTTGAATTCTAAGGCGGTTAAAGTTTACTGACATTACAAATGGCGTCTCGCAGTGATAATGTTACCACGTGTTTTCTCGAAATAAACAAACAGGTGAACCGTGTAACATCAACATTGTGCGTATATAGAATTTGACTAATTTTCCATTCGTTTCGCTATACGCACACACAAGATTATGATTCTATACGCCGCGTGTTTCTATTTCGCTTTATGCAAACAATAATAATTTTCCATTTACATAATAAACAAACATTATACGCATGTACTAAGTAAATCAATTATTGTTCATGCGATAAAGATATGATGCTGGAAAATCGCGAGTCGTCCTCGTTCAGTTCTATGTAAAGAATGCTCAATAAGCACATCTCATCTTACCTATTCACCAGTTCTTTCGGTTTTACTCTAATAATTTATTTGATTAACCAATTAATTTACAAATAAAGAATGTTTACTTCGAAATCCATATTTTCCATCAGGACTTTAAAGTCTAGATGACCGCGTGTCGTTTCGATGCTAGAACTTTTTGGTCGCGAAGGAATAGTAGCGATTCACGAGATTAAAGGTGAGGTGGCTGATTTATGCGTGGAGTACATGAATCAATTTCTAGTGGTAGATTTATTTATTTTTTTTTTATGGTTATAAAATAAAGTTCAGGGTGAAACTCTCAACCGATGTTGATTGCACATAACCTGTAAAATCTTACTCACCATCCAAGACCTGTGATCTACAAAAACAATCAAAAAAATCGTCTTGTTCTAGACAATTTTTACCAATCTCTATTTGGTTAACAAGATTTTTATTTATATTGATATGTTAAAAGAAATATCTTTCACATGCAAAATTCTTTCTACCATGAGTCAATACAATAAAAAAAAACCTTTTATTAGTGCTATTATATAATTAATGAGATTATTTCGTTCAGTATAAGTAATAACTGTTATTTAGTTATCTAATTTAATTCATATTTTATGAATTTTCTATTTATAAAATTATTATTATATTTATAAAATTTAAATTATTATATATACAGTTTGTCTAAATTATATTTTATTTGTAATTCAATAAATAATTAATAAATCAAAACAAAAATTTAAATATATATTAATAAGAACATAAAAAACCAATTTACTTAATAGATTTCTATTAACATATTATTAAAATTTATTAAAATTAATTGTTATATCAAAACAAAATTTTTTAAATTACATATTAGTTTAATTAAATTATAATAATAAATAAATAGATAAATAAATTACTTATAATAAATAAAAACAAAAATAATTAAAAAATAATTTTATTAAATTTAAAGTTAATTAATTAATCTTTTAACTAAATAAACTAATTAAAAATTAGTACAAAATACAAATTTTTTAAATATTATTTTTATTAAATAAAAAATAAATTAATTTTTATAATTTTTTTATTTGTTAACTAATTTTTTTTTAAAATTTTTATATAATATAAATTATTTTTCCAACTATAATTTATATACAGTATATATATTACAAAAAATTTTTAATAATATAAATAGTAAATAATAAACAATTAACAAAAATCTTTCATTAAAAGAAATATTTATTTTTATTTATTATAAAATACAAGAGATTAATTAACTTTTTATAAAATGATAAATGTTTTGAAAATGATAAAAATCTTTTTTAATAAATTCTTTGTTTTATTAAATAAAATCTATATAAGCAATCTTCAAATTAAAATCTTTTTACTTATTCCTATATATATATATTTATTTAATTGCAAACAAGCATTAAATACAAGACTTTTATTAAACAAGATTATAGCCATTATATTAAAAATATTTTATATATATTGTAAATTAATTCTAATCTATTGTAATTTTACTAAAATATTAACTTACATCATATAAATAAACCTATACTATAATTTATATTATGTTTGTCTACTTATATATTTAGGATAAGAAAAATTCTATCCAATAATTAAAAAATTTTTTCAACAGTCTTTATTTTGGCTTTATAATTTGACTTTTTTTTACAATTGGATTATCAATTCAGATTATGTCAATATCAAGTAGAGTAGTAAAAGTCCAATCAAATTTCAAAGTTTGCCAATTCAGTCTTAAATATTAACTAATTAAGTATAACTTATTCAGAAAACTAGTCAACCTAAATAGAAAGGATAGTGATATGGAGTCTATTATTTCAGTTGAAGTTATAAACTTTTAACAAAGTTAAATCAAAAATCTTGCTTTATATAATCTTTCTTACTTTGATCTGTTTTTAATCTGCAATTATCAAAAAGACCAAAGATTCTATTTTTATGCAGCCTAGCTTAATTTGATAGATAATTTTGACTAATTAGATATAATATGTATTGGAGGCCAGTTAATCAATCATAAAAATGATAAATTTTTTATAATCATATAAATTTAAACCCTAGACTTTCTTTTGATAACTTATGAAATATTATCACAAAATGTAGATC